GTGGTGGTGGTGGTGGTGCCGCTACTGCTGATGGTGGTGGCGTTGCTGCTGCTGTTACTACTGCTTCTGGTGTTGCTGCTGTTGTCGCCACCGCTGCTGCTGCCGACGGTCTCCGTGTATCTCTGACACCGCGAAATTTGCGCCGCTCGTCGCTCGACGACTCGTGCGCGACAAATAATTACAACATCAACGATCAACACTCCGCACGCAAGAGACAATTGTCGCCCGAGCCCCGCAATTCCCGTAGATCGATTGATTGTCGCATCGCAGCATCGCGGCAGGGGGGGGGGGAGTGGCGACGCGAGAACGGACCATTATCGGTCGTCGGCGGCGGCGGCGATTGTATAGTCACTAGTCGTTTATTACCGGCGCGTGACATGGAAACCCGCTCGCGTGAATGCCTCGCATATTCGCTTTCAATATCCCCCCTGCCCCCTCCCCAGCTCGCGACCGCTAGAGCAATAATGTAGGTCCAAAGAGTTGGTCGGTATTATAGCGCGATGTATATATATATATATATATATATATATATATATATATGGGTGAAAGGGGCATATGTGGGTGGCAGTCGTGAGAGTTGAATTGAGAGGAGTGAAGTGAAATGCAATATTCTTACATCATTGCCCGTTTATTTGTATATACGCATTCCAATAGAAACAGAGCAGTACATATAATACTGTTGGTCGGATTTATACAATCAGCTAACCGTAATGAGTTTTAAGTCGCAACATGTGAGATAATTAAATAAGCTCTCGCGAATATCGTGTTCGTCGCATGTGTGTCAGCGCCGCGCTCCGGCGTGCGCGCGTGTGCGTGCGTGCGTGTGTGCGTGTGCGTGTGTGTGCGTGTATGCACTATGCACATGCGTGTATATAAGCGCTTGTATGTGTGTACGTGCGTGCGTGCGTGTACGTGCACGCGAGTACGTGCACGTGTGTATGTGCGCGCGAGTATGTGTGCGTGTAATTAGTGCGTGTATGTATATACGCGGGTGTGCGTGCGTGCGTGTACGTGCGTGCATGTGTGTGTGTACCTGCGTGTACGTGCGCGCGCGCGCGTCTCTCATAGCAGCCGCTCCTGGCTGCTCTCGGGCCGCGGCGTACCGTTGAACGAGTGAATATCGGAGACGCACGACCGCTCGCCGACGTCGCCGCAGCAGTTGTCCTCCGACTCGTTCGCGCTGGCGTCGTCGGCTCGCGTCACCGTGTAGCAGTAGCTGTGCATCACCGTCGCCATCTCGTGCGTCGTACGCTGCACGGCGAGGCAGTCGGAGCGGCAGGCGGCCGCCTTCTGCGTGCGTGCATCCGACCACGACGCGTCGGTGATGCGATGCACGATACCTTTAGTGCGGAACAGGTAGCAGCACCAGATGCGCTTGTAGTTGACGCGGAAGCGGGGGCTGCCGGCAGCGTACAGAAGCGGGTTGACGAGGCTGTTGAGGTAGAGGAGCCAGTAGGAAGCCATGTACGCGTAGTCGTTCCAGCACTCGTGGCACAGCGTGCTGAGGGTTGTATTGACGGCCCACGGCGCCCACATGACGATGAAAGCGACGACGAGGATAAACAGCGAGCGCGCCGCTCGTCGGTCCTTCGACAGGGTCGCGTCGGTGGACGTCGGCGCGGCGAGCGTGTGCGACGCCGTCTGCTTGAAGCGACGAGTGCGCGCGGCGATATTGCGGTACACTTTCACGTTGACGACGATTAGCAGCGCTCCGGGAATGACGATCGTCAGAATGTTCTTCGTCAGCGTGAACGGGAAGTTGTAGAGAAACTCCACTTCGCAAAGCGTCGGCTTCAGCACCGAGAAGCCGGCGAAGGCGCGCCAGCCGAGAATCGACGGCGCGTAGAAGGCGATGACGACCACCCACGTGACGACGATGTGCACGACGGCCTTTCGTATCGAGTTCTGCACCTGATAACTCGCTCCCTGCGTGACGAGCTTGTAGCGATCCCAGCTGATGAGAATCACGCTCGTGACGGACTCGAGCGTCCACGTGTACTCGACGAACATCCAGAAGTCGCAGACGGGCTGCGGCAGCACCCAGATCCAGTCGTGGTAGATGTCCCAGAAGGCGATCGGCGCGTCGACGCAGCCGACGAAGAAGTCGCAGATAGCGAGGTTGAGGATGTACGTGTTCTGCACGTTGCGTAGGCGAGGATCGATCGCGTAGGCGATCATCACCGACACATTGCCGGCGACGGTGAGCAGGAACTGCAGCGCCGCCGCCACGGCGAGAAAGATCTTCACCTCGTGGCTGAAGAAGATGGCCGCATGTGGCGCCACCGTCGCGTTGGTGACTGCGGAGAGCGAGAGAGAAAGAGAAAGAGAGAGAGAGAGCGTGTTAGTTGTGGCGACTGGTACATAATGCTGTACGCGATGTGGATGGTTGGATGGATGGATGGATGGACGGACGGACGGACGGACGGACGGACGGACGGACGGACGGACGGACGGACGGACGGACGGACGGACGGATGGATGGTTGGATGGATGGATGGATGGATGGATGGATGGCTGGATTGATGAATGACGAATGATTGACGGACTGACTGACTCACTGGAAATATATAATAGAGAAATGAATAAAAAAAATGTACAAAAATAATAAAAAAAATAAAAAATATACTAGATAGAAAAAAAAGCTAAACAAGCAAATAACTAGCTAAATGAATAAAAAATAAATGTCAGATGAAAGAATAAATGAGCAACGAAACAAAAACCTATCGTTATGATGGCGCATGCGCGATAGCATAGGTTTAAATGCTATAATGTCAAGATATATTATGTACATAATAATATAGGATAATATATATATGTACCAATATATAGGACACACAACAGTCCCCGGATATAAGATGGGCCGTTGGGCGTGCATCTGGGAGTACTGGCGCTAAGCACCTTAAAGTCTGCGCTCAGAAACTTTCGTATTTCGGAATCTCGGATTTCTACCGGATCACGTGGTTTCCCGCTGCGCTGCGGCGACGTCGCTGCCGACGTTTCCGGTTTACTATTAAAAGCGGGGCGACCCCGTTGTCACTCACAACCTGGCGTGTTGCGCCACCTGCTGGGTGTAGACCGAGTTTCCAGGTTTTTTGGCGCAGGAGAAAATACGAGGAACGAGGACGTAACGCTGGAAACGTGCTCTACATCACTTCATCTCCTCCCATCTCCGTACGCCTCTCATTATCTATATATACACATACATACACGCCGGCTAACTGGTGGAAATTCGTTCTAATTAGGGCAAGGGTTAACGTGCCCTGTAGCGTGATCCGGAGAACGTGCCGCAGCCACCATAAATGACGACAGCGCCCCCGTGAGGAAGGCATCGTTTAAATATATCGCGGTCGGTCACGCGTTACGCGCTATTGTGACAATAAACGCAGCGTTCGTTAAAACGGAGATCGATCAATTCCGCCATCAACAACGTCACACATCGTAGATAAAAAAAAAGCAATGTTAAATGCGACCTTCCCTGAGAGAATAATGGACGTATGGGTACCCATAGTGCACGGCGCGGGCGGCGCGCGTCTGCGTGTTTCACGGCAGCAGATAGGTGAGCGCGCGATTGTTGCTGACGTCACTAGCAGCGGCGTGGAAGACTGACTGACTCCGTGATTGACACATCGTTTATCCGAGCAGACGAAGAAAGATCCGTAAGCCGGCACGCGTGTTTCGGGCTAGCGTGTGTCAGCCGCACGAGGGAGAGGGAGCGAGGGGAGAGGGAAAGAGAGAGGATGAGAGGGGGCGAGAGCGAACGAGAGAGAGAGCGCACGCGAAGGGGAGAGAGAGAGAGGAAGAGAGGGGGCGAGAGCGAACGAGAGAGAGAGCGCGCGCGAGGGGGATAGAGAGAGCAAGAGAGGGGACGAGAGCGAACGAGAGAGAGAGAGAGAGAGAGGGGGATAGAGAGAGCAAGAGAGGGGACGAGAGCGAACGAGAGAGAGAGAGAGAGAGAGCGCGCCGCGCGAGGGGAAGAGGGAGAGATCGAAGGGCGGGGAGAGAGAGAGAGAGAGGAAGAGAGGGGGCGAGAGCGAACGAGAGAGAGAGCGCGCGCGAGGGGGATAGAGAGAGCAAGAGAGGGGACGAGAGCGAACGAGAGAGAGAGAGAGAGAGAGCGCGCCGCGCG